GATCCGCGAGCTCCGTCTCACCCGATCCCTAAAACTAACCGCCTCGGCTGCGCAACGACGCCTTGGTTGACGACTTCGTCTCAACTAAAAAACACGCACACAAGCCCACTGATAAACACCCCCCAGACGATTCTGCTCGAATCGCCCGGGGGCTCGGGGGCGCTCGTGCGCACCCGCCGACGAAACAAACCCCCCCCCCACTAGCAACAAGAAAAAATCCCCTAGACGGTTCTGCCCGAACCGCCCAGGGGCTCAGGGGCTACACCCGCGGGTGCGCTCGCGCACATCCGCCATTAAGACAAAAATCCCCCAGACGATTCTACCCGAATCGCCCAGGGGCTCAGGGGCTCCTGTCGGGTTCATAAACCTGGGGTCCCTCACGGACCGGCTTCCCCGTAGAGGCTCGGCCCAGCAGGCAACGTTGCAAACAACGCGCAACTCATGGGCCGGCCCAAGTACCTAAACAACAGGCCAGAAGGGCGATCCAATCACCGACCGGAAGGACTGGCCGAGGAGGAACGGCGCTCGTTTCCAACTCTGGCCCACATCTCCGACCGGAGTGCTCGCGTCGGTCCCCAGCCTGCCTCCGGATGTCCTCTCCGACCGGAAGGCCTGGCCAAAGCACTACTTCTGACTCCGACCCGTGTCTCCGACCAGAGATGCGCCAAACCCCTTCTCACCGCTCTTCTCCTACTGGCGCGATCAGAGCCGACTGGGACTAACCGACTGGGGACGCCCGCTCGGTAAGGACCAGAGAACGGACGAGGAAAGTAAGGCAAGGCGCACAAGTTAAACCGTAATACCTAGGACCGTACTCTGTACACCTGCAGAAACAGTACTCTGCAACCTCCCTGGCACAACAGAGCCCAAGCAGTGTTGTACGCGCCGACATTTTCCCCTACAGTATTGTGGGCGCCATTAACTCCCATACGGTAAGGCTCCCCCCACATGCCTCTGGGCACCGACAATGTTGTGGGTGCCGACATTTACCGTACCAGGCGAATATGGTAAAACCCCTCACAAACCTCCAGGTATCATCAGTGTGGCGGGCGCCGACGTCTGTCATACCCTAAGACAACATAACCTCCCACATACATCTGACATCCAACAGTGTTGTGGGCGTCTACCATCATCACATACCCACCGACGTAGGCAACAAGGCTTAGAAGCATACATACTCTCTCCCTCTTACTTGTAAGGCCATCCCCTTCATCTATAAAAGGGGATGCGCTCTCTCCCAAAAAACTCAGTTCATCCAAGTTCATTAAGCTCAGTCAGATTCATTAGATCGATCAAGTTCACTAGTTCACAACCACAGAACCGCCAGGTTCGAACCACAAGCACATGCTTGAACACTTAGTTCATAGCGGGGCTCCCGTCACTCTCGCCCCTTCCGACCGGAGTCCAACCGGACCTCTTGTACCCCCCATCTTTCTCCTTCTCGTTTGTAACCCCACTGCAAACTTTGAGCATCTGGACTCAGGAATAAAGTCACCGATCGACTCAAACTGGACGTAGGGCACGTTGCTTGAACCAGTATAAACCCTGTGTCATTGAGTGCTAGTCCACCTCCGATCACAACGTACGGCAAAACTACAAATATTTACTTGTTGGTCACTTTCTGCACCGACACACTCTCTCTCTTTGTTCTACTCATCTTTTGAAGCTTAAGTTAAAGCTTATACACTAAAAGTACTTAACATGTTTTGTAACTTAAAGTTGTAATCCTTCTACGCTTTACTCCGATGTATGAAATTTTTGTATCAAATGTTGTAACGTTGTGGTAACTCCATTGTTGACCCTGTATGAGTTGTAAAATGTGGATGATTCGGGATTCTCCGAGGACACCCGACAGATTACTGAATTATCTGGCTCTCATGTGTAGCAATCAGAGGTCTTTAGGACAATGACAGATGCACGTGGGCAAGCATAATTTGAGTGATTCTGTTACGTAAGAGACCAAACCTTTTGTGCCCCTTAGCACATCTAGATACCCTGCTACGGACCTTGGTGAGGGATTTACAGAGTTGGGTAGCGACCAAGATTGGGGGAATCAAAGAACAACTGCTCATGGCTAGGGAATTGATCCTCCAACTTGACAGAGCACAAGAGATCCGGCAGCTCTCTGCAGAGGAGGACGACCTCAGGAAGCGGATGAAGATGCGGTGCCTTGGGCTCTCATCGCTGGAAAGAACAATGGCAAGACAGAGATCTCGCGTTCGATAGTTGAGCGAGGGGGACACAAACACGGCCTACTTCCATCTCATCGCAAGAGGGCGGAAGCGGAGAAACTTCATCCCGTCCCTGACCGCTGATGGGCACGTCATCACCGAGCACGAAAACATGGAGATGGCGCTTCACAGCCACTTCACAGGGGTGTTCGGGACGCCTGCCGCGACGCATGCCGCAATAAACTATCTCGCGCTTGACATACAACCGATCGACCTAGCCGACCTCGACAACACCTTCACACCTAATGAGGTTTGGGCGGCCATCAAGGACATGCCATCTGACAGAGCGCCCGGCCCAGACGGCTTCACCTGGGTGTTCTACAAGACGGCGTGGCCACTCATCCGTGAAGACATTATGGCGGCACTTCACGCCTTCGCCCACGCCGACAGCAGAAACATGGCAAAGCTAAACAACGCCATTGTCGTGTTGCTGCCGAAGAAGGTTGGAGCCAATTGCCCTGCTGATTTCCGTCCAATCACCATAGTGCATAGCTTCGCAAAGCTGGTTTCCAAAATCTTGGCCTTGCGGTTGGCGCCGAAACTCAACGAACTCATCGCGAAGAATCAGAAGAACACCTTCATCAGAGATTGCACCATACATGACAACTTCAAATACATTCAACGGGCGGCAACTCTGATCAGAAAGAAGAAAATTCCCATGCTGCTCCTAAAGCTGGACATATCCAAAGCATTTGATACGCTTTCTTGGCCGTTCTTGTTGAATGTGTTGCAAGCAAGAGGGTTTAGGGCCGCCTGGCGCAGATGGATAGCCGCGCTGCTCAGCACGGCGTCCTCGCAGATACTGCTAAACGGAAGGCAAGGGCAACCGATTCAGCACAGAAGAGGAGTCCGTCAAGGAGATTCGTTATCGCCTATGCTGTTCATCATCGCCATGGACGTTCTTCACAGAATGTTCATCAAGGCAACAAGAGACGGCGTCCTGCGCAAGATGGAGCCACCGGAGATCAAATACCAGTGCAGTTTCTACACCGATGATGTCATCCTGTTTATCAGGCCGACGGTACAGGAGGCAACAGCGGTAAAGGAAATTCTCCGTATCTTCGGCGAGGCATCGGGCCTGCAAACCAACCTGGCCAAGTGCTCAATCACGCCTATCTTTGGGGGAGAAGAGATCATGGACGAGCTGATCAGCATCCTCGGTTGCCAAATACAGCCGTTCCCAATCAGGTACCTTGGATTGCCCCTCACCACCAAAAAAATCCCCAAAGCGAACATCCAATCCATCGTCGAAGCGGTCGCCCAGAAGCTCCCGCCCTGTCACGGTTCCCTCATGACGCGAAGTGGGAGATTGGTTTGGATCAAATCAGTCCTCCGAGCAGTTCCCATCTATGCGATGCTGGCCGAGAGTCTACCGCCGTGGGCGCGGAAAGAAATTGACACCGTCTGCAGGAAGCTTTTCTGGGCAGGACATGAAGAATCAGTCAGAGGAAAGTGCATGGTGTCGTGGGAGGCGGTGTGCAAACCTACAGCACTTGGCGGGCTCGGCATCTCCGATCTCAAACTCGCCGGTTATGCCCTGCAAACCAGATGGCTCTGGCTGCAGAAGACAGACCAGGAGCGCGCTTGGAGCCAACTGCCGATCAAAGCAGACGCACCAGTGCACGCGTTCTTCAACGTTTCAACCTTCACGGAGGTCGGTAATGGAAGGCAAGCACTCTTCTGGGAAGACAGGTGGATTGACGGAGCCTCCATACCACAGATCGCGCCAATACTTTCAGAATTGGTTCCAAGGCGAACAAGGAAAACCAAACGGTCTCTCAGGCGTTGGAGGGCAGACAGTATGTTCAGGGTATCACAGGAGGGCTCTCTGTACCAGCCATTGCAGAATACCTGCGCCCTCCGATCGGCCGGACAGGACAGTGTGGCGTTGGACCCCAAATGGCATCTACTCGGCAAAGTCCGCTTACAACATGCTTCATTCACGCAATCAAATTCAGAGGACATGCCTTGATTTGGAAAACTTGGGCGCCACTAAAGGTAAAAATTTTCCTATGGCTGGCCTTCAAGCGCGGGCATTGGAGAGGAGACCGACGCACAAGACATGGATTGGAAGCAAGAGAATTCTGCTACCTCTGTGATCAATACACTGAAACCATAGATCACATCGTTGCAACCTGCCCATACGCCAGCGAAGTGTGGTCACTGATCCATCAGGCGCTCGGACGGCAAATCCCACAGGCAGCGCAGACAGTTTAGGCGATTACCGCACCCCACATGCGCCGCGGGGGTACTGTAGCGCGTCAAATCAAAACAAGGCAACATCTTCGAAATAATTTAGATAATTTGAAGAAAAAGCACGCAACATCTTCAATTTGAAGAAAAAACTCGTAGTTTTCGAACCAGATGTCCAAATCAAATTCCGATTGCACCACTGTGATCCTCGTGACGAGATCTTCGAAATAAGACCACACTGGGATATATTTAGATAATTTTCTTTGTGAACATATTTTTAAGGCGGAATAATTTATTAGGAAGCTAGAACAATTGTTCCAGGTTCACGAAAAAAATTGTTCCAGCATTTAAAAAAAAATTGTTCCAAAAAAAAATTATCCAAGTATAGTCAAGTGTGGTCTTATTTCGAAGATCTTACCATAAAAAACATAATAGTGCAATCGGAATTTAATTTGGATACCTAATTTGAAAATTATGAATTTTTTTATGTAATCACAGTGGGCTTTATTGCTACTGGGCCTTAATGGTTCAACACGGTTGGTCCTCGTCGCCGCGCTACATAACCTCATGCCCGCATCACAGCATGAGCACGCCGCCTCCCGTTCCTGCCCGGCTGCCCTGCCCACCGCCCACTCCGATCATCGGCTCAGCTCCTCCCTCATCAAAGACATCACAATTTGATCCCTGGGTGCGTGTTTGACAGGGCTCAGCTCCACAAGAACAAATTAGTAGCTCTAAAAGATACGACTGAACTTGCTTACATCACATAGCCTCAAGTTTTTCATATGCTTCTTCACCCACTGTTTTATGGCTGCATAATGATGCCCCGAAGATTTCATTGGGCCTGCAATAGTATGCAATTATTTAAAATTACACCATACTCAAATTATTCAGATTTGTTTTCCTTCTTTTTTTACATCTCCATCCGCAGCAGTGCAATTACTAAAGAAAAACAATTGTAACTGCTCGTGGTACTTGCAGATTCAAACTGCGATAATAATCTTTTCCTGAACATGATAACTGATTAACATTCCTTTTCATTAAGTAGCTTCAGGTTACGTTGAAAAAAAAAAGTAGCTTCACAGTATGCTCTTCTCTATGTCGATTTTGGGTGCTTACCTTTCTACAAAATAACAAAGACTCTAACTGCTAGTAGTACACAACTGATGAAGTGAAGCATATTAATAGCAGCAGAAATTTTCCAACAAAACATTGCAAAGCATTTCCACGGCACTTTAGGACTTCGGATTTATCTCTGTTCATGTACCTTGCATCATTAGAAAAGGCCAGACACTCTCGGCCTGTTCGCTTGGTCGTAAACGATCGTAAATTTCCAGCCAGAACAGTATTTTTCTCTAACACTAAACCAACCAGCAGTAATAATCCACGATCGTATCAGCACCAGCCGAACAGGCTGTCTTGAAGACACCGCACAACATGATGTGACCAAGGCATGTACTTTGCAAAAGCACAATGAGCTTGAGCTATCGTACTGCACACCTCCACGGTCAAATGAATCAATACAAATACGCCTGGTGTACCTGAAATCAGAGTTCAAATTAACCTCGCACGTGCATCTGCTGTGAGTTTGATGTTTCGTCAGGTGGTGCTTGGACCCTTTTGTGTTAGAAAAAGAGAGAGGCAGAATGGAATTGGAAAATTACCTTTTTGGATTGTGCTTTTGCTTGCTGCAATCAGTTGACACAGTTGGTATGCGGGCTTGAGAAGTAACAACAATGGCATTTAGAAATACAGAATAATACCTCAAAACTCTCGGTGCAAGTCCATCCTACTGGGATTTGGACAGTGGCGGATGCAGAACAGGATTGAGGATGGGCTGGTCTTTTCTTCTTCCTTTCTCTCTCCATTTTCTTTCTTTGCTCCACCTCTTATTCTCCCTCACCCTTCCATGGATGCACCGGCTAGCAATGACGAATTAAGACGGATGAGCAATTAGGTGTGCCAGTGAATCTGCACAAGGTAAAAGGGCACAAATCGTCAGAGTTTAACGAACTCACCAGATGAAATGATGACGGGCATCCGATTGCCCAATCAACAGATGAGGGATGTGGGAGGTGAGATGCCAGTCCTTCCCCTTCCTCCTCTCGCAGCGCCTCTCCAGATCAGGGCAGCTAGAGATCTCCAGTGTCTGTAGAGCGGTGAGGCCTTTAATCCACTCTGTCAAGGATTTGAGGTGAGGCAGCACATCGATTCAGGAATGGAAGTCAGGCCCCGCAAGCCCCATATCTCGAATTTCCTTAGAGAACGGAGTTCCCCTAGCGATTCTGGCAGTTGGCCAAGTGCCCCGCAGTCTCGTATTTTGAGCACCTGGAGGGAGGTGAGGCACCCCAATGATTGGGGAAGGCACGTGCAAGAACTGAATCTTGAATATGCGTAGAGAAGCAAGTTCCCCGACACATTCGGCAAGTTGGGCAAGTGCATCGCACCATTCGATTTGGAGCACCTGGAGGGAGGTGAGGTGCCCCAATGATCGTAGAAGGCTGCTCAGCCTTAATAATGCCGTGATGTGTAGCATTTGTAAAGAGCGGAGCTCTCCAAGACATTCTGACAGCCGGTGAATGTCACGATAACTTATTTTGAGATTCGTGAGGGACGTGAGCTGCCAGAATGATTGGGAGCTACTTATGGCGTCACAATCCAGAGTCTGTAGAGATGGAGAGCACAGGTCCCCCACCCACCCACTGTGAGAATACACAGTGCTTTGAGGGCCCTGAGCGGCTGCATCGATGGAGCAGGGCTCAAACTACCGCACCCCCCAATGACCATCCTTTCCAGATAACAGAGCTCCCCCAGCCATACAGAGAGTTTGGCATTCTATAATCCGCAGGGTTCGGAGGGATGCGAGGCTCCGCATGCTCCCGGGCAGCTCGGTTAGGCCATTACACTTCCGAATTTGCAAGAACTCCAGTCCTATCAAGTGTTGCAGCAGCTCCCATCGACATCCAGATCAATACGATGCTGCTCCTGCTGCTGGTGGCATGCCTTCCAGGCGAAGCTCCTTTAGGCAGCTAAAACGAAAAGACGGCAAAGAGGATCCTTGGCCTAGGCCTGGCTGTCCCAGCAGCTGCACGTTGCTCTTAACCAAACGCAAGTCCTTCAACGACGAAGGGAAGTATGGCATCACCATCAGATTGGGACACTTTGATATACTTAGAACTGATAGACGATTACCAAGCTGCACTTGTCCCTCTTCCACATAAGCCAAGCTCCCCTCTGTTACCAACCGAACCACGCACAAACTCTGCATTCCATCCATGAATAACTCCAACGGTGAAGGAAATGGACCTCCGCTTATTCTTTTAAGACAAGGCATTTCCTTGAGCACAAGCTTCTCCAAACAAGGCAACTCTGTTAGCCCCTCCAAATGCTACGATTTTGGGAAATCTGATAGTTTCAACTTGCACAACAGTCGGCCGCGAAACATCCACTCCGTCGATTCCTGACCTGAATACCGGACAATTTTTAGGATTTTAATTCCAGGCGGTGGTTCCAACCCTTCCAGCTTATTTTCAGAGTTCACCCCCACATTACTTGCATAAATTAGTCTCAGGCTTTGTAAGTTTGTCTTCTGCTTCAAGCATTCCTTGTGTGCAACATCTGGCTCCATACAACGTGCAATACCACGGATAGTTAGTTCCCCGCTAATCTTATTAACGTTTTCAAGCTCTGGGATTTGTGAATAATTTACAGCATCCTCTCCCATAACAAATAGTCCTAGCGTTTCAAGTCGAGTAAGCTGCCCGATCCCTTTTGGAATGGCTAGTAACTTTTCACATCCTTGCAGGTTCAGAACAACAAGCTTCTTCAATTTCCCTATGCCTTTAGGCAACTCTTCCAGCTCAAAACAGCATTGAAGGTCCAAACACTCTAGGTTTTCTAGTGCCGTGATACTTGATGGTAGCCTCTCAAGTTTGGTATTGCCTAGTCTCAATACTCTTAGCCTTTTATTCCTGCCGATAGAGCTTGGTAAAGCAGCAACATTGTGACAACGAAAAAGGTGTATGCGAGAAATCATGACACAGTTGCCAATGGAATCTAGCAAACCTGTTAGCCTCAAACTATATGACAAGTTGATCACTCTCAACTTCTGCAGCTTACCAATGGATTCAGGTAACATGACAAGGTCACTTGATATTACATGAAGAGCTTGCAGACTCCAAATGTCTGAAATAACCTCAGGAAGTGTTTCATATTTCAGTCCTAAAATGTTAAGGTACCTTAAATTTTTGGTCTCTAGTATGGCTCTGAGTGCTGATGTATGCACATCTTTCACACTGATACTGCACAAGTGTTTTGCATTCTTCGATGCCTTGCCAAATATGAAATCATCATTTTCAGCAATATACATAGCACGTGCCTTTTGAAATGTATTTTTGGGCGGAAGATGTCTTGTGTGTTCCATTATAGAAAAATATCTGCAGATCTTTGTGCAATTGGTTGCCTTCTCTGACACGGCAAGTGAAATCTCATCACCCAAAATGGACCGGGAAAGATCATGCACCAAATCATGCATCTTACACTTTATTCTTCCACCCCATGTTTCCATCACATCTTGTATGAAATACATTTGCACAAGATGACTAAAGTACTCATGGCCAACATATTCCAAGTAGTTATCACCATCTTCAGTGATCATATCATGAGCAATCCATTGGCCAATCAATTGGTCTTTATCGATCAAGTGACCTTTAGGAAAAATTGAACATATTATGTGTAACACTTCACCCGGAGGTATTTCAACTATGAGAAGGACTGACAAAGAGATATTGATAACTTATACTTATGATGGATGAACCAACCAACCTCTTACTCTAAACAGGGGTAAATCAAGAGATAGAATAATATATATAAAGGATAAATGTAACACTCAAAGTACTACATAAGATAGCAATAGTAAGTCTAAGTAGATACAGGAGAAATTAATTCCTAAATCATTCTAGTCACAAGTCAAAGCATACATTGATGTGCATATACTTAGCAATGGTTAAGGATCTTTATATCTACACATAAGGGACATTACTTAGAAAGATCTAGAATAGAGCTTGATTTCCATAGCAACCGGGTCCTACTTAACCTACAAACGGGAGGTGGACCACAAAGGACTCAACGAGGTTGTCACCCTCGCGATCTATCACATGATCCAAAATGTAGGGTGCATCCACAGGTAAACAACGTATAAGTACCATGCTTACACAATGTCGACCACTCATCCCGTTCGAACATAAGAGTGAGCGCTTTGCGATCTTATGCATAAACATAATAATGATTCTACTAAGCATATAATCAAAACAAACCATGGACGTTCCGCAAAAAAAAAGCAAACTATGAACATGATAACTATGAACATGAATAATATAAAGAACAATGTCATAGCAAATGTAGCAAATAATAAAGGATACAGAAGGCTTTACCAAGCCAAAATCTTGACAAGATCGGGAATCCAAGCAGGGAGCTTGACTCTCTTGAGATCTAACTTAGCTTGCTATGCCTAAGAATATTTGTGGAGCTCTGAGGTTCTTCTTGATCTCTTCAGATGATGGAGGAGGATGCCCTCCAGGAGGAGGTATGGGGGCCTTTTATAGGGGCACCAGGAGTCCTGTGGGTCCATGAATCCATGGCAACGTCAAATCTAAGCCCTCGTTACGAACCGACCTTGAGTAACGGCGTAGATTGAACCTTGGAGGCGGAGGAGAACCGACGTAGCCCTCTAACATTTGAGGTCGGGTCGCAGTGGATTATCTTCTACGGTGATTTAGGACTCTTTTAAGTCGGTTTTGTTGCCGTCGTTCGTGATTTGCTCTGACGATTGAGTCCACTTTAACTGTTTCCTGAATAATTCTCCTGAAAACACAGATTCACCAAAACTTGTGAAATTTATTAGTTTAAACCTCTAACCATATGTTGGTGATCATTTTTATGCATTTATACAAGTTATATTGACAGTTTATGATGAGTGTTAACTATCGTCAACATTGTGAAACACTACTTTAGATGAGATGGCAAGTTAAAATAGCTCAACCACAAGCAGGCTGATACTTGACGTTCTTCACCCTCAACATTTAATAAATTACTCTCTTTTATAGCTTGCTATTGTTCTAATCGTTTCTTGACTCGGAGGACCCCTGCAAGAACTTTAATTGCTAATGGCACCCCACCACACTTGTTCACAATCTCTTTCCCAACTTCTTCAAAGTCATGTTCCACAGCATTTCCATAGCTTTGCTGAAATACTTGCCAGCTATAATCCTCAGACAATGATGGCAAGTCGATTAGTGTTGTAGATTCCACTGCTTCAGCAACATTTCTACTACGAGTAGTGAGTAGAATCCTGCTTCCTGGTGAGCCATGCTTTAGATGTACCATGAACTCTGCCCACTTAATACGGCCTTGAGTCCAAACATCATCCAATACAAGTAGGAACCTTTTGTTGGTCAATCCGTCTGAGATTTTATTGGCCATATACGTCAAGGAAAGGCCATCGGACCTCTCGTTTGAAATAGCATCAAATGGCTTCTTGAGAATTTTTTCAAGTTGAAATTCCTCTTGTGACACATGAACCCATAGTTTAACTGGAAAATGATTACAATTTTCATTTTTGACTTTACTGAAAATCAGCTGGGCCAGTTTAGTTTTCCCAGAGTCACCAAGTCCAACTATTGAAACTATCTTGATTCTCTGTTGGTCAACATCCTGTAACAGCTCAGATAGAATATCATTCATCTCTTGGTCTCTTCCGATTACTGCTGCCTCATCCACGAAGGGCAATGTTTGCATATTCGTAGGTGTCTCTTTTATATGGCTAACAGGATCATTGACAACCACTGAATTCAAAATACTTCTTTGCTTCACAAGGACATCAAACATCTTCTTAATTTTCTCGATCTTTTTGGCAGCCTGGCATTGAAATATAAGTGAATTTGGTTTTGTGTACAGGTATTTGGACACAAATCCACCATCACCATCAGCTTCATATTTTTCAGCCTTCAGTTGGAACTCATCCACAACATCATCAACCTCATAAACGGCTTCTTTCAACTTTTTGAGCGATGGAGCATCCCCCATAGCTCTGTCTCCTGCTGCTTCCAGCCGTTGATTGATCTCCAGAGCTAGATCTTGGAGTTCCCGGAGGTCCTTTTCAACACCCACTATAGAGCTGTATTCTTTGATAACAAGTGGAGCTAACTTGTTGCACACAAGCTTCAATGTTGCAGATACTGCTGCAGACACTGCAGCAGCTTCCATAGTACCAACCATGTTTGTTTAAGTGCCCAGATTTCCTATAAATTGAATTTTGGAAATAATCAGGTTTTTTCTTTGTAAAGCAATAGAGTCATATAATCAGTTTCCCATATTCTGACCTGCGAAAACAAGTGTAGCCTCTTGATTGATGAATGCTGCTGAAGTGGGGCTTCTTAATTTGCAGGCAAGCCTTTAGAGCCTTCCTGTCCCTGCCATCACAAGGAGCAGCCGAAAGGGGAGAGAGGTCAATTGGATTGTCGAACACTAAAGAAAGGGAGAGCCCAGCGAGTGCTCCAAAACGAGAGAGCCTGAGATCAGGTGGGGTTTTCTTCTAGGCAATGAATGAAGAAACATAAACTAGCCCCGCCCTGCATTGCATCAATCAAAAAGGGAAATGAGAGGTGAAAAAGTTAAAGATGAACATACCATACCAGAGTGCCAAGTAGACAAGAATCAACAGCTCTGTCTTCAGTACTACCTGTGAAGAGTCTGAAATTGCTGGGGTAAGACTATCTCAAACAACCGTGGCCTAAAATACAAGACTCATTTGTCCTTGGGATAGCGCTACAGGCAAAGGGTTCAATAACTATTTTTGTCTTCTTTATCAACAAGACCCAAAAGATAACCCTTTCTGCAAATGGGTCTCCATAAGAGAGGATACTCAAATTTAGATTATGCCTCTCCTGACATCTAAAATAGGTCTTTCGTATAACTGTTTGAGGCTATCGATATTGTGTTGGAGACCCAATTTGGATTTGGGTTCCGCGACAGGTCTCCTCGTCGAAGACAGCCGAGGCAGAGAGATTAGAAGGCGGTGGACGGCTGGAGTGCAAACTGTATGTCATATTCAAGTAGAATAGCGTCAATACCTGGATCTCAGACGAGATGCCTTGCTGCTTTTGCATCTGACATCTCCCAATGCCGCGCTCCTTCTCCCCTGAGCGAGATGCGTGTGCAAGCGCAATGAAGCAATCGGAGCTGGATCTGCACAAGGAAGGCGCAACTGAGCTTACTCGATCGAGCCGGCCTCTGGATTAGATCTAGATGGCCAGGCTTCCGCTACTGCTAAGCAAGTGCCGGGCAGGAAATGCTGGAGGCTCCTCGCAAAAAAAAAAAAAAAAAGGAAATGCTGGAGGCTCCCAGTGGCGGGGACGCGGAGTCAACAAGTCGCCGGAGCATCGTACACTCCTGACTCCTCCACATGGCTGTTGGCCCAGTGCTAGCTAGCTGTTGGCAATGGTGCGTCACGTCAGTGGTGACCATGCATGGTGCTTCGTCTGGGCTCCAATTCAAGGCCCGTGTTCTTCTGGGCCCTGGATGACAAACAGACTCCGATTTCAAGAGCTACCAACATATCTTCCCTCATGAGACTAAACTTTATGTACAAAAAAAATTGTGCCGGATTAACCACAATTACACTACACAATGGCAGCGCCCAACTATGCATTTTCACAATACATGTCCCAGTCCTTTTGAACCCAAACACATTTCCACAATCGGATGAGGAATGTGTAGGTCTTGTCCCCAGTCTTGCTCTTGTATGCAGGAGCCACTTCCAGTCAAAAACTTTCAACTCCTATGCAGCCACACTAGGTCACTAGCTCAGAACTGCGTCCAGGTCCCTCTGCTTGGGCTTGCTATTCCTTCTCCTGCGCCGTGCGGTGCCTGGAGGTGCCTGAACGATGCACAACAGTTCTGAAATCACAAAGTTCCCCAGGGAAAATGTTCAGAAATATTCATACCGTCAGAGACATTGTTACCTTCTCTTCAGCTTTAAGCGAGTCCATGAGATCTCCCATGCCTGCTATTGCTTCTTGCCCTTGCACCATACTCATCAACTTCTGCATCTGAGCACGCATTTGGAAAAGCTGGGCAACCAATTGGCTCACCTAATAGTGGAAAATCAAAATGACAATCTTGTTAGCTCCATGGTTTGGTATACTAAGCATTGCAGACTTTCGAAGACTGGTGATATCATAAGATAGAACAAAACCTCACCTCTTGTTCAGTCTTTCCAGACTCCTCAGCCACTCTTATCCTCCTCTCACGCGATTCAGCCAGTAACTCTGGCTTCTCCCTTTCCTCTATGCAACCCAGAAAACATAGAATTAGGCATCCATGTCCACAACTCAAGTAAGCATCCAATTAGGCTTCCTATATATAGCTAAAAATCAGGGCAAACACGTACCAGCAGTCATGGCATTGATCATTGACTCCACAAATGCAAGTCTTTTCTCAGCTTCTCGAATTTGCGCAGGAGTTATCTGTTTATCGTATCAAACTTAAACATGCTTGTAATGCACAGCGGTAAAGTTGGAGAACATGTTGAACTCCACAAGCTCATGTACCTTGTTCATGCCTGGCATCATTCCAATAATGCGGCTCATGGAACCCATTTTTGCAACATTTTGAGATTGTATTAAGAAGTCGTTGAAGTCGAATTTTGCACTCATGATCTTTTTCTGTAATTCTGCAGCCTCTTCTCGCCGCATCTATTTGTACCACATGTAGAGTTGTAAATAACATACAATGCTCACAATATTACTTACACAACAAAGGAGCAGTTTTGCAGGAAGCTACTTACAACTTCTTGTGTCTTTTCAACAAATGAGAGTACATCTCCCATTCCTAAAACTCGTTGTGCCATGCGATCAGGGTAGAAAAGCTCAAGGTCCTCCAATCGTTCCCCACGCCCAACAAATTTGATGGGCCTCCCAGAGACCTGCATGGTCAATTAAGCAGTGATGTTCTCTTATATCAGCTGAAAACAAAAAATGTTTACATACTACAGTGCATGGACACAACAACTGGCAGGGATTAAAGACTGCTGAGATTTATCCATGCAGTGCAGTCCAAGAGTTAATTCGATATGAGATTTTTTTTTTCTTCATAACTGCAGCAAGCAAGTGAAAAAGGAAACTACAAAGATATATGCACATGGTGCGAAAGTTATGCTAGTGAAAAACTGCCATCAACACTATTGAACTACAAAAGTGCTGATTATCAATTAGCAAAATAAAGTGAAGTTGAATAGTAAAATTGATAGATAATAATCTTCTTTGCATCAACTAATAGAAATGATTTCTGGTAAATGACTACCTCTTTAACACTTAGTGCAGCTCCGCCCCTGGAGTCACCATCCAATTTAGTCAGTATAGCACCAGTGATACCAATCTCAATATTGAAGGTGGTGACTAGTGCTGCATATCAGAAAGAAATAGTTTATGTTTCTGTCGCAATACTATATTGCTCACTGAAAATCCATCAACAGAACAAAACAATAAAAACTGTTAACAGTTTTTTAATAGAAAAAATTTAGAGCAATAGCCAGTTTCCTGGCTAACCATGCTTTTGCTGAAGTACCAACCAATGTTTACTAAATTTTGGCCCTTGGCAACACCCATGCTGCAACAATGGCAAGAAGAAACAGATGGATACCTGCAGCTTCTTGGCCAGTCATGGCATCAACGACAAGCAGAACTTCTGTAGGATTAACAGCCTTCTTCACTTCTTTCAATTCATCCATCATTGATTTATCAATCTGAATGGCAGAAAGGTCATCATCTGGTGTCAGTGATGCTAGTTCGTATGACATATGAATTATAAGTTTTGTATAAAGGTATGGGTAAATCAGGTTCAGAGTAGAATTCCATAAGTTGGCACTTGTGACTGAAATTAGAGTACAATGAAGATTAACCTGCAGTCTACCAGCAGTATCTACCACAATGGCATCAATATTCTTGCTTTTGGCCTCTTCCATAGCATTCTTGGTTATTTGTGTAGGTTTGGCTTCTGTCCCTTCTGAGTAAACTGGTACACCCACCTGTCAATGCTCAAAAGAAAAATAACTCTGACATAATTGTGGTACTGCATTTCAAAAGCAGATGTAATATGATCGGTTTAACTTCCAAGTTTTGAAACAATCTGAGGGCATCTTGACCCCTTAAAATTGGAGACATATTACCTACAACTATTCAATGGCAAAAAAGCAGTTCTACGTGAAGGTTCAAGGGGGTTACCTGTTTACCCAGTATAGTGAGTTGATCAATGGCAGCAGGCCTGTAAACGTCTGCAGCAACCAGCATACAACTCTTCCCCTGTAACCTAACTCTGGTATAAGTATCTACAGGTTATCAAGCATTAAGTGCTAGATGCACGAAAATCAAAGGGTGAGGGATGCACCAGTTTCTTCAAATAGAATGCAAGCTTTGCGCAAACAGTAGTCTTCCCAACACCCTGTAGACCTGAGAGCAAGATAACTGTCGGGCCATTTTTTGAAAATACCAGATCTGATACTTCTCCACCCATCAGTTGTACAAGTTCGTCATGCACAATCTGCAGCACCAGTCAGATTATTTTTCCTCTTCCAGAAATTAATTAGTTCAAAAAGCTGTTTGTGTTTTCATTTAGCATAAACTAATAAGTAATAACTGAACATTTCAGATAAGACTGTCTGTGCATGTTATTTTATTTTCTTTGCTGGTGTGATTTGCTACTCCTCCAGAGAATAGGGAACTTATAACACTAAGAAAAGTTAAATGTATTAAGTTGTGGAGAACACCAAAGTGAAACAAATGAAATGATTCAACCAAGCAAAAGTTCATGCGCTCATTATCTGTAAATTCCTTAATGGCAGTGTGACGCAGAAATACCTTCACTAATTGCTGGTCCGGTCGGACTCCTCTGATAGCATTTGCACCTAAAGCCTTATCACTAACAGATGAAACAAACCGTCGCACAACGGGCAAACTAACCTGACGAAAGCAGGAGAAACTTCAGTCCTCACACTATATAGGTATACATGAAGTGATAAGTAGAACATGAAAATGCAAGGTACTGACATCTGCTTCCAGAAGTGCTCGCCTAATGTCCCGCATTGGTTCGGCAATATTTTCCTTTGTTAGGACGTCTTAAATGAAAAGTGCAATGTGTTAATGATAATACTGACAAGTTAGTTACTACTTACTAAAGCACATACTTTGGTTTAAACAAAGTTACACAGAAGTGTAGAACAAAGTAGTGGTAACAAATTAACAAGCACATAACACCTATAGTGTATAATGGTTCGACAAGCAAACATAGGAGTACACCACAAATGAGTAAGTAATGGCCACTAGGGAAGCATGTACTGAACTTGTACTTCAGTACTAGTCTCACTACGATTGCCTTCCAGAGTTCCGCATAAAAAGCTCCTCTTAACGCATGAAAATGAAAAAAAAAACGACAAAACAGATGCATTGATCGTATGAATGAAGAAGAAGCAGAGCCACGCACCAACGCCGCGCAGCTTGTTCCAGGCGGACTCGAGCCCGGTGGTGAGCTGGCCGAACATCTCCGCGCGCACAACCAGCCCGCTCCCCCTCCACCGCCTTCTCCATACCTAAACCGCACAGACGTGAGCACGCCCCCGCGAAACATTAAACCCGCCGAGCAATGCAACCTTCTTCCGCATGCAAAAAAACTGAATGAACCAAAGCTAGCTAGCGAACCGGAGAGCGGGCGGGGGTCCGGGCCGCGCGGAGGTGGACGGAGGAGGCCGTGGAGGGCCCACCACGGTGGAGGTAGCCGAAGACTGGCTTCCCTGGCGAGCGGCGGGAGGCGGCCGGGGACGAATGGAGCGCGAGCGCGGGCGCGGTGGCCTCCATTTCCGCGGCGGAGGGGAGAGGAGAGAAGAGAAGGGAGAGGGAAGCAGGAGCAGACGACGCCGAGTAGCTTGCTGGATAAGAGCGAGCGAGCGCTTGGTTTCAGGTGGGCCCCCGATGATGAGAATCATTTTGGGCCAAAATGTTCCGTGGCCTGTGTAGCGTTAAACTAAGCGAAACGGGCCTTTATTGAATACACCGCACCTCCTTAGGCGTAATCCCAGTAGGGTTATTTGAGCCCATCGAATGGAGGACGCGGTTTAGCCCAAGAATGCAAAGCTCATTTTCACAACATTTTCGTTTGTTGTACCAAAATAGTCGATATAACGTTTAGGTCTATAAACATACCTCCTCCATTCTAAAATAGATGATCGATCTTATACATTCAAATTTTGTCCTAAACTACTTGAGCTCTCACTTATCAATGCACCTTTCACTTTTCCCAATACACATTTCTCTTTTCTCAACGCATCTATATCTCTACTTGGGTACTAGTCTTTTGGCTTCAGGGTTGGTTTCCATAAGAGATTCGAAGGCCCCGTCTGGCATGGCTTCGTGCGGCTCCTTGCAAGAAGTCCTGCCAAATGGGCATCTAAAACACGATTCCTTGCGATGAGCTCGGAGAAGCCTGAGCCGTTTTTTTTGTATACAGGAGCTGGAGCCGAAAAAATAGCTTCTCCTGGCTCCTCCCTACAAACCTAATATAAATTATTGTAAAGCTGCCACTAGAGTCTCTTTTTGCCAAACGATTCACAAATGGTTCTAGCTCCACAAAAGAAACTACTCTGGCATTTGAAACCAGAGCCGGAGCCCTTTTAGGACGAGTTTATATATAAAAGTTATGTTTATTTTAACATGAGCTAGCAGAGACAAGAAAATTCCGCCAATTCCACCAACTGTATAGTTTTGCATTTTTTATCCAGACAAATAATTGTGCAAAAAACGAAAAAATCCGTGCCCAAACGCGGTTTCATTTTGTGGCCCATGAGCGGCCGATTTGGTCGCCCAAATTTGGCACGTTGTAACCAATCACGGGGCTTTCCCTACTCAAGTCAAGTGGCCCTGCCTTTTCACCCAACTCCAACCTAGCAAATTTCTATTGGTTGGTGCAGGAATCACAGTGCAATGCATGCGTGAAGATGCAGCGGAAAGAGATGCTCGACTGATTCGCTGGTTGAAGCGATGGATCAGTTGTGCCATACAGATCACTGAAGAATCAGGAATCATTTTTAAAAAAATATATATATATCAAGAATGAAGAAAGGTGGAATCTGAATTTCTGACTGAATAGGACGAGCATAACGCTTTTCATTTCATCGCTTTCTGAAGAACACTTTAGAAACCTTAATTAATTAGGTAGCCGATGCTTCTCATAAGCATGATTACACCATTGCATCATCATCATCATCCATAGGATAATTAATTATCGATCGTATGCAAGTATGCCAAGTCCATCAACGACCTCCGATCGCCTAGCTTTCACCGTCGTCTATGCATCAATGCATGAGTTCTTGCCACGGTGGTCGTCGTCGTCGTCACCTCCGTGCACCGCCTCGTCGAGGCTCACACCGGCTGCGGCGAAGGCGGCGACCGCGAACTGCAGCCTGAGCCGGCCGCCCTCGCGCGTGGCCTGCAGGAGCTCCTTGCCGGGGATCACCACCTCCCGCAGCACGAACCGGCCGTCCTCCCGTAACGACCGGAAGCACACGTACGGCTTGCCGCCGCGCCCGATGGACCGTATCGGCGGCGGGAACGTCTTGGGCTGCCTCTCCTCCTCCTTCGCCTTCTCCGCGGCGCCGGCGCTGGTGGCGTCCGCAACAGCGTCGTCTCCGCCGTCCGCCGGCGCCGTCTCGACTGTGCCCTTGAGCGCGGCGGCCTCGGCCTCGGCGTCGCCGTCCTTGAACATGTCATCGGCATCCACGGTGCTCTCGTAGCCGAGCCCCTCGGTGCAGAGCAGAAGCGACGCGGACGAGGAGCCCTTCTTGGCGCAGAAGCTCGCGCTCCTCTTCACCGTGGCCACGGTGGCCGCCGGCTTGGGCCTCAGCAGCGCGTCCAGCGACGAGTCGTCCTTGCTCTTATTCTCGGCCTCCGCCGCGATGTCCAGCCACGACGGCGTGCGCGAAGGAGGGACCGCGGCGGCGGCGGCGACGGCGGCGGCAGGAGGACGGCGGCGGCGCCTCGGTGGTCCGGCTGCTGCGGCTTCTCCTGGAAGTGGAGCTCGCCGAAGATCTCCGTGATGGACGCCGTGTCGACGATGGGCTTGTTGCTGGGGTGGTGGTGGTGGTGGACGTTGCGGTTCCACGCCGAAAGCGCCTCCAGCAGCGTCGGGTTCTCCGGCAGCGGCTTCTCGAACAGCCGCCTCAGCCCGCCGTCCGCCGCGGCCATCGGCGCAGCCATCACCTGCTTATCTCTGGACAACATGCACCTAGCTGCACGGCTGCACAAGTGAACAAACGTTTCAGTTCTTCTGCGTCTGCTCTGTTCAGAGTTCAGACACCATGTCAGTCAGTTGGGACTTGAGAGATGTGCCAGTCTGTTTTGCTTACCTGCAACTGCAAAGGAGCTGCTGAAGGATGTGCAGAACAGTTTTGAGGTTTGTGACTGACTGTCAGGAGCTACACTCAAATTCTTGTGTCTCTCTGAATTGTGACTTTGTCAGCCTGGGAGAAAGATGTATTTATATATATGTATATATATATATACTACTAGGAGAAGAAAAAAAAGGAGCGGTGGAGAAATATGCAGGGCTTTCTGTGGCTGTGGAATTGGAATATACTTGCATATATCACTTCAGTTTTAACAAGTGGAGGGTAGTCTTTCAACTGGAGAATATGGCCGTCAGTACAGCGCTAAAGACATTGGTTTTAAACAACCGCCACTGCAGTGCTAAGAAAGAATCCATTTTCCATTTTGTATAATGTCTCTTTAGGGATGAAAATCTTACAATTGAATGCAACAATGTATCTTTGAGTCAGTGAAATGTCTATGTACTTTGCACGAGTGATCAGTTGCGTCAATGTTCCGATTCCGTAACAGAAATTGACCTGTCCTCGTAGTCGCCCTGTTCGCTTGGCTTATAAGCCGTATTTTTTCAGCCAACGATTTTTTCTCACAACAAATCAGCCAACAGTACTTTCAGCCATGACTTATCAGCTAAGCGAACAGGGCAACTAGTGCTGATGGCGATCTTGCGGTGGCTTTTTTGTCTCTCCTGAGCAAATTATGCAGCCCAGGGTGGAAATTCCGGTAAGGTCAGCATACAAATCTGTCTGCCAAAACTAGATTCTGATTTCAAGTGGTGCTAAAGCCTAGAAAAGAGGGATGATTTTCTCCAGACAGTAGTGTACTTGCCTTTGTCAACTGAATAACACCAGTGCTTCCTTTCTATGTAATAGGAGGGGCCAGGCCCCTACTGCTTTTATATTAATATAAAAAAGGAGACTTTACAAGAACAAAAGAAAGAAAATTACACAATCAGGTTTAGCCATTCAACAATTTATAGAAAATACTTATGTATAACTTTTTTTATATAATTATGGAAAAGGAGGATAACACCAGTGTTATCTCTTTTTTTTTAACATAAGACCAATGTTATCTAGAAGAGGGAATAAGGGGGCTTCCAAAACCGACAAGGAACAAAGCATGTGAAAGTCACCACACCACAGAAAGAGAGGAATTCGTCAGATTTATACCTCAACAATCATAGAGCGTGGGCATTGGGCAAACCTCTCCATACTGTTTCATTGTCTGAATGAAAGGGCGGTTGGCGTCGTTTTGCTTGTTTAAAACGTATATTATTCTTTCTGAAAGCTAAAAATCTTACCGCAGATCCGATAAACCTAAAAGGAAAACCAATGGAGAGAAGATTAGATAAAGCTACCTGATGCAATGAAAAGGGTCATGGATACGGTGCTTGAGAGCTCAGTTCAGACAGTTCATTGCAGCGCAAAAAGTCATTCAGTTTCTTTAGCACCAATGAGTGGGTGTTTTAGATATCAGAATATCAGCACTAACTTCGTACATGGATGAACTATATCTTTGTAATGCGCACCATCAAGTCTTTGCTCGAGTATTCTGGGACAAAAATTGACCTGTCCAGTGATGGATCCAGGAAAAATTTTAGGGGGCTGAACAAAAGTGCGACAAAGAACATACTTCCGATCGCCGCCGATCTTGGCCTCAAAAATTTCATCTACACGATAGAACTTTACATAAAAATTCATGGGGGCTCCAATATCGGTAGGGGGGGCTCGACCCCCGTTTGAATCCTTGGAGTGCCATTTGTCTGCCGTGCGCAAATTATACTACAGCTGACGATGGCAATCCCGATAAGGTCAGCATAGCAATCTGTCTGCCCAGATCAGATTCCGATTTTAAGTGGTGCTAGAACCAACCAATCACTGCACAAAGATTTTTGCCTACTGGTACTGTACTTCTCACAGAGAATAACGCTAGTGTGATCTTGAGATTGGAATACAGAGCTTCCAAATACCGACAGGGAATAAAGGATGACAGCCACATCAACAAAAACAACACAGCTAGCTGAACAGGCAGAAATCAAGGTAACTCAAAATCATCCTTGATTGTCTGACTTTTCATTGTTGAGTAGGCCTAAAAGACAGGATGAAATAGCAATTGGTGGTGACTGGCTTGTTCACACTGTATTTGTCACGAGAGCTGGAAAACCTTTGCACCGATTCTGTAAGCCTGTAATCGAAAAAGAATGAAGGAGAGGAGGTAGAATAAAGCTACATGATGCAATGAAAGAAGGCATGAATATGGTGCTTGAGAGTTCAGTTGCAGACAGTCCAGCATAGGAAAATTATACTGTCGAAAAGGATAAGCAACTCAGAGAGCACTGAGAGAAAGGGACAAAAATAAAGCATTAAACTTTCCAAAAGTAAAACACAAAGAGTGATCAACCCAAGCTGCAATCCGAAATTTTGAAATGAGCGCAGAGAGCAGAATAAGGGACTAAGCGATAAGACAAGCACAGCACAGGTCATACCTGAACTTTCAGGCACTTCATAAATCATAATTTAGGCATTGAAGAGATTTATGTACAAAAGAAAGCATCAATATCTTTCATTCATCACTCAAACAAGGGACCATAAGAAAGATACAGAAGTTAGTGATGGTAAGAAGAATGAATCTCAAAACACCATGACCATGATACAGCAAGAAATGATACACAGACAAAATGCAAAATGTGCAACCCAGCAGTCTGGGTTCCTATTTTCAGCAAAACATCAGGTTAGTCATCTAGTGCACAACAACAATGGAAATGTCATTTGATTTCATCTCCATGCTTCAATCCATTCAACCTTGGAATTTATCCGGCTCACAATGCTCACACCTCTTGATTTCTCAGCTGGAGGTGTGGCACGTGTTGCAGACTGACCCTTACCTTTTCTAGTCCTCCTACAATTCAGGTTTTGGCTCTCCTTCCCTTGAAGAGAATTTGTAGTTGTGCTGGAAGCATCAGCAGTAGCAGCGTGAGCAGCAAGTGCAGGTTGTGAGCAACTAGCGGAGCTCTCCGTACTTGTCTGGACAGTGAAAGCAGCAGTGGCTCCTTCAGCGGCATTAATTTCATTAGGTTTGTCCTCATTACTGTGTGCAGGACTGTTCAGGAGAGGCTCATCCTTGACGAAAGAGGGACGTCTGGATCCTTCCTCAACGAGCGAATCAAGTGTCATGCTGGGTTTCTGATGCCCATTTTCATCAGATGGATCCTTCTGGGGCAGCAAAACATCCTCCAGACTGGACTCTTCTCTATCCTTGAGGGTCCTTTGTATTAACATCTTCAGAAAATTCATCACTTGCACAGCATACATCAGTGCAGTCAATGGATCTGCCATCTGCAAGGTAGATGGCCTATAGTTAGCATGCCTAACCATTTCAGTTGTATTTGGAGTGACGAGTGAGATATATTGTTAATTTGCTAGGTTATTAGCACAGTATATTACCTGAGTCATATTTGGTGCAAAAACCATAGCAATATTGCGAGCGTTCATCTTGTTTATCTGTTCTTCTTGGACTACATCAGCCATCAGGTTAACAGACCAATCAAGCAAAGCAGCTTCAGCTGGTGGAAGGCATTTAGCCACACAAGCACAATCCTCTTCACATTGGCATTGCATCACCTGTTCCGGCGGGATCGAGTCCAGCACCCCACTTGGCATCTCCCTGAACCAGGACTGAAAAGTGATGAAAAAAGTAAATTTGATGAGAATATACTTGTCTTGTCAAGTAAAGCTGAGTAACTAAAATATTAGCATCAAATAAGTTGACGCCCTGTTCGCTTGGGCTTGTTTGGCTTATAAGCCGTACTTTTTCAGCCAACGAACAGTATTTTTCTCTCACACCAAATCAGCCATGGCTTATCAGCCAAACAAGCCCAAGCGAACAGGAAGCAAGATAATATTCTGCAACAGCATGATCCCAAATCCACAATTTTGTGTGTATCTCTACCACTTAAAACAATGGAATTGATGGTGATGGTGTCATTGGTGTGTCTGCAATCACCAGTTCACCACCACTCTATGTCTCTACCCATATTTTTCGCTCTATTTACCCACCATGCCACTGAACACAAATTAGTTTCACCCTCACCCCAATCTTTCTCTAACATCATGGAACCAAGGTTAGCCATATATACAAATGTACTTCTTTGATATGTTGTGCCATTGCAATGCATGGGCAGTTTTGCTAGTAGGGAAGAAAGTTGAAGCAATATCTTTGTGCAGAAAAAGATAAACTGAGTTGCATTACAAAGTGAAGTGTGGATTCTCTGACAGTAGTTGACATGAAATTCAAACAGTAAAGATAAGCACAATCATTAATAACCTCATGCGATTAAAAACTTATGCTGCCAACAGATGAACAGAATAATTAGAAAGAAGCTTACTTTAATTAGGCCTGCCAAACAATGGACCTCAATGCCATCCGGAACAATTCCACTATTTAACTGGTCTCTCACAAATTCCTCCTGGCTATTCTCCGCATTAATACGGAAAATACCTTCTGCCTGAAAGTACAAAGGAAGACACTGTATTTGATCAGACAAAGTTACTAAGTGCTAATGAAAACAGGAGTCATGGAAATCCTAACAGAACACACCTGAAGACCACCCTGTTCATAAAGGCGCCTTTGCATCATCAACAGGATCGTTGGGACACTATTTCTTCTCGTATCGTAGGAACACTGCATTGATTCTGTTGAAACTCCAAAGACGCTTGCACTGCATTTCAAGTTTCAATTAGCCGATTGCAACAGCCAAAGCACACATGCAGTGGACGTGTTGTTAAAAATGCACATTAGCATTGCACAATAAACGTGCCCTTTGCAATATTAAGGATATGACCACTATGTCATTGATATGATGTCAATGAATCTTT